GGGGGGGGGGGGGATGCGGCCTTGGGTTTGGTCTGCTGCGAGGCCTTCCCTGAAGGGAGAACACGGCCACGGGCTGGGCCTGCGGTGGGGCCTTCCCTGTGCGGGGAATGCGGCCACGGGCTCGGCTGGCTGTGGTGCTTTCCTCGAGGGAGCGCGGCCGGAGGCCGGGCCCTGTGAGGGGCCTTCCCTGAGGGGGCTGTGGCAGTAGGCTGGGCTTGCTGCAGGGTTTTTCCCCTGAGAGGGATACGTCGGCAGGCCTGGAGTGGGGTCCTTCATGATGGGAGACGGCAGTGAGCTGGGCTGGTGAAGGCTGTCCCTGACGGGGGATGGCAGCAGGTCAGGCCAGGCCCTCTGTGGGAAGATGAGGACGGGTTGAGCCAGTGCAGGCCCTCTGAGGGTGGCGATGGCAGACAGGGCCGGCGTTCCCCTGGGTCCATCAGGCCGCTGAGCTGAGGCTGTGCTGCAGGAGAGGCAGCGGTGCTGGTGCTGGTGGCCGTGCTGTGGGGCAGCACCGGGCCGTTCCTGCGGACAGGCGCGGCGGGGCTGGAGGAGGTGCGGTGCCAGGGCCGCCTGCAGCAGCTGCTGGCCGAGATCCGCTTCCTGGGCCTCAACTACAAGGTGCGACCTGGTCCGGGCCAGGGAGGTAGCCGGGTGTCAAACTGCCTTTGGGATCATTCCTGCCTGTTTACTTCTGGACTCGATGCTTTTATTTAAACTTAAATATTCCATCTATCATCAGAATTATTTATCCTCTGTAATATTTCATTTACTTGCCTACAGCACTGCTCTTCCCATGCAGAATTGAGACCGCTTTTGTAGGCAGCGGGTCATTAACCCTCGTATTGCATGAAATAAGCACGGTCTGCCTTCTGCAGATTGGGGAACCGAGACGTTGAGCAGCTCGTGACTGGCAGCGGAATCATGTGCTGCATTTCCGCTGCCAAACAGGGCGCAGGGTGAGCGGGTCTGGGCTCCTTCGCTGCCCACTCACCGGGGAGGGGTGCACGGTGGGTTTGCAAGCGACAACTGACAGGCTTGTGTTCTTCCTGCAGTACATGGTGCCGTTTCTGCTCAATCAAGGTGGGTCTCTCCTCTTCTACCTCACCTTGGCATCCGCAGGTTAGTTCTCGTTGCGTTCGTGGAGTGGGTTGATTGGGATTTTGGGAGGATCAGTGCTATTGATTACTCTGGTGCCTCAGCTAGACATCAAGCAGCTGTCTTGTAATAATCACGAATAAAACAAGTGTCTTAACGATTTGTACAAGATTATCCATTTTAAACTGTTTGTGTTAAAACTGTTCAATTTCAGATCTGTCCCTGGCAGTACCGCTCTGTAACTCCCTGGCTTTGATAGTCACGCTGGGGACTGGGAGGATTCTGGGAGAGGACATCGGTGGTAAAAGTAAGTTACGCTTAAAACATTTCCTCACGTTGCCTCCTGCACCTGTTTGCTGACTTAATAGCGTGGGCTACCCTCTGGTCTCCTGCAAAACAGCAAATACCCACGCTAGTTGAGTAGTAGCTCTTGCTACAGAAGCTGAAAAGGAAGTGAAACAGACTTGTAAGCGGGCAGGGCTAGTAAATTTGAAGATAGAACTGGCTATCTAAGCTAACAGAGTTTACAGGCCTGAGCCTTTACCTAACTAGATATTTAATCGTAAGAGAAGCACTAAATAATATGCCCGCTGTGGAAAAGGAATGCCCCATAAGCCCCTAAATGTCAGCGCCCATCCTTCTTTCCTTCCCTTACGTCCTACGATAACGTTACTCTGCTCAGAAAGTCAGAAAACGGCAGGAAACTTGAAAGCGTAAAAACACCAGGACCTGGCACAATAGCTGTGGGAATACACTAAAGTGGTTTTTTTGTTGTTTAAGCCTGGTTCTCGCTAGCCAGCCATACGGCATCAGCCGCATTTTCTTAGAAACATGCTTTGCCCAACGTACACGGGCAGTCCACACATCCAGAGCCCTTCAGAACTCGCCTGCTCCAGGTCATATCTATCCAGACATTTACGCTGTCCTATTTACCATGACGTCTGAGCAGCATCTGTTTAGCAATGAGAAGGTCTGGCTGACTGGTGTTGAATTACCTACGTTCCCAGTATATTATTGTTCATTTCTGTAGGGGCTGCGGCAGGAATGCTGCTCACCGTCCTAGGAGTCGCGCTCTGTGTTGCTGGCTCGTGAACGAGACGCAGTGAGAAGCAGAGGAAGGGAACCTGTTCAAAGGTAACCCCCGTGGCTGAAGGGGGGGCTTCTGGCTCCGCAGCACACCGTTTGGCTCAGTTGGACCTAGGAAGCTGTATTTTGATACACGGATGTCAAGAAACGTGAAAACGTGGACTGTATTCCCTGAGCACCAGGGTGGAACAAGGCATGTTGCAGGGACATCCTATTTAATGTCTTGAGTTAAGGAATTTTTTGTCTGTGGGTGTTTCAAGGCAAGGATGATTGAATTGTCTTGTTCGGCACTGGAGGGATAATAAAGGGTTAATAAATCATTCAACGGGAGCTTCTGGGACCAACTGTTTTTTTCTGTAGAAGGAATCTATTTAGGAACGCTCCCTTTCCTGGCCAAGCACGTGAAAGGGGCTTCCTCCACTGCGCTCAGCTGCAACGTGCCAGGTCACGCTGCACAGCCCTTTACACTGAGGTTATCGCATCGCTTTCCTCCACCGGAGTCCTGTAGAGTGCCTCTCATCTGTTAAATAACGACAGTGCAGTTTGTCCCTAGGGAAGGAAGGGTGTTTTTCTTTTCAGTGAAATTATCAGTCCAAAATACCAGGTAGATCACAGAAGAAAAAAATCTTGGTTACCCTTATAATTACTGAGGAACACTGGGGAGGGAAATACGGAAAGCCTTGCACAGAGAGGGTTAATACAAGAGCTGTTCATTACTATGACTTTTCCTAAATCAGGCAGATGCTCCTAAAACAAGTTAACAGAAACAAGATGTGTATATTTTTGGGAACAGGTTTGACTGCTGCAAACTTCATCCAAGCGTTCCAAATCAGAGGGACGATGATGCGATGAAATCTCTTTATAAGAAGTATCTGACATAGAACAAACTTCCTGGCAGGCATTTTGTTATAAAGGCATGTATTCTATTTGGTAATTCTTCCTTCCCGAGTTCAGACGCAAACCAGTTTAGTCAGAGTTGAGAAAAGCAGCCATCTCCTCTGCCACACCGTCACACCACAGAGATGAGGAAAGGAGGATTTCATTATTTAACAAAATTGTGCATCTGATTCATTGTTCCCTGGTACTCTGCTTCTTGAGCCCAGATGATGGGGGTGCTTGAATTTAGAAGAGTTTGTTAATTCATCAAAAAGCTTGGCCAGCCTGTGGTGTTACAGAGGTCTAGGATTCACGTGCTTTTGTTATCTGTAGCTGTGCAGATAGCCGTGTACCTAACTGTCCCTCTCCCGTCACGGTCCCTTTGTGAACTCTTCAGAGCTCTTTGCTGCCAAGGGAAACGTGGTTCAGTACTTTTCATCCTCAGAGTCACTGGCATCCCTTTTCCTTGCCACAGTCTTTTGTGATTTCTCTGTAGTCCATGCCTTTTTGCAGTGAGAAAGAAATACAGTTATTAATGTAGCACTTGGCTATTACAGAAAGATTCTGGGACTAAATTCCTGGATTCCGTTTCCAGTCTTACCACAGCTTTGGTACGCAAACTTGGGTCTCTGCATTAAATTCAAAAGGTAGTTTATTTAATGCCTAATGATTCTCTCCCACTGCAGAGGGGAGCTGTGACACTCAAATAATGACGACTGTATAGCAGTGTGATCTGGGGGGGGGGGGGGAGCCCGCACTCGGCGGCATCGGAGCGCCCACCCCGTTGAGAAATGCCGGCCCAGCCTCTAAAGCAAACACAGGACATCAGGCTCCCCATTGGGCCAAGAAGTCAGGAACCATTAGCTAATTCTTTACTAGGGCTTTCTCTAATTTAAGTTCAAAGGAGTTGTTTTCCTTTGAAGTTCTAATTAATCCAAAGAGACTACCTGGGCAGAACTGTGAATCACCTACAGTATAACACATTCATCCCATTACACCAATTCTAAATGTCCTTATGAAAAGTTTAAAACACGAATAACCCATGAACAATAAGCATCTTGCAGACATTTTTAACACACAGGTTTTTGTTTTAAGAACAACTACTTTTTTTCCATTAAAAAAAAAAAGATTTAAACTTGTTACTATCTAATAAACGTGTTCGGTCACTTTAGGAACTACATGCTGTGCCAGCTTCTAAGCTTCACCTGGCCACAGGCAAGTTCTGTTTAACAAGTTATATTTGGGTGTCCTGATTTTTAGTGTAAGGAATCTGAACACAGCCAGGAAGGATCTTCCACACTTCACAGAACCATTAAGTGGGATAAATACCTTGCTGTGGTGTATCGTTTTGGCTTTTGGTATAAGTTCTTCTGCAACTCTCTGGAACAGGAGTAAAGATAGAAGCAGTACACCCAAAAAAAAAAAAAATCCAGGAAAGCCTTTGATATCCTTGCTGCAGTGGGAAGCTGTAACTCACATTCCAGAAGGGAAACGTTCATTACCCAGATGACAATCTCTCGGCTTTCTAAAAATGCAAAGCCCTGCAGTTACGCGCTGTCCTCTGGTTTCTGAAGTTCCCCCTGGTGGTTACTTTCATCTTCACACATTGTAGAGAGAAGCACAGTGCTTTGTAAGCCTAACGAATAGGACTTAAAGCAAGTGAGAAAACCGAAGGACTTCCCCAAGCAATTGCTATAAACGGTTGATTGATGTGTTCTCAGGGGCTGTCCCTGAAGGGCTGTCTCTTGGAGTTGGCCTCCCTGCTGTGCAGAACCTGCAGCACCGATAGATTCCAGCGGGACCATGAGTACTTCCCTGCAGCAGTGAGACTCCTAACGGGGCAGAAAATAATTTCTCAGACCTGATCAATGGGTACGTCCACCCTCGTGTGTTCGTCCTCTTTTACTTCCTGGGCACCTCGCATCTCCTTCCTAGGATCGATGGTTTTATAGGCACTTTCTTCTGCGAGGAGAAGAAAAGAAAAAAAGCTGTTCAATGGGTATTGCAGATAGCCGTGGCCTGGCCTTGCTGAGGCCACAGAAAGGTCCTCGTATGTGCCCAGGTGAGGAGAGGAAAGAAGCAGAAATACAGAAGTTTTTGGATGCATCACTGCTTTCTTTCAGTGCATCTGCAGGTATTTTGTCCTTTAGCATCAAAGTAAAGCCAGTCTTCCCCTACGCTTACAGCAGTGTCCCTTACCTTGATCAGGCCAGTGCTGCACATTCCTGTTGCTGCTCCTGTTCCGTCCTGCACGGACAGGTTTAGCATGGAAAACGGACTCTTCCTCGTTGAGGTGAGATTTCCTGGCTTGCCTTCGCAGTTGTGGAAAAGCAGCTGGGACCTTGTCTTTCTGTGCAGCTCCTGTGGTCTGCACACTGTGACCGTCCAGCTGAAAGTATTCATCACACACTTCTGATAGGCCGTCTTTATAAACTTTATAAAACAGTTTATAAAACAAGAGAAGTTTTGCAGGGCAATCCCCTAAACACTGCAACTTTCCCCTGTGACCCTTGATCCTGACTGGTGCAAAGCTGTAACACTGCATTCTCTGACTGGGGTTTTAAGTTGATGCTACAAGTGAAACAGATACAGGGAACACATAAAACACTTTTTGCAGTCGCTACTACCTGCCGAGGTGGTTCGGCAAGAGCAGAGTCACCAGCTCTGTCCTGGGAGGTGGCACAGAGTTCACCAAACTGAAAACAAACAAAAAAAAAGGAAATTTTAAAAGCAAATAGCACAGATCGCACAGATGCACATTCCAATGGACAACCTAGGACAGCCCAGCTGCTGTATCTGTAGTCTCTGTTGGGCATTTTACCCACACAGTGAGCAGGAAAGATACCCTAGCTCCAGAATGAATTCTCCCTGCCCATCGGCCAAAAAGAAGAGGTAAGCGAGGCCACCTTCGGGAGTTTTTCTTCAGGCAGTGAGATCTAATTCGAGTGTGATCTGGCCACATCGCTGTCTCTAGCTCCTCTCCTTTGGGAATGGTGCCAAGCAAGGGTGCTGTAGCCATGGCAATTGGGAATGGAGATTGCTGGAGATCCACTGCTTATGGAGGGATGCCTGCACATACACATCCACTGCTTATGGAGGGATGCCTGCACAGAAGCAACTGTGATCGTAGCACAAACAGTCCCACGCCAGCTGAGCCACCTACCCTTCTGCGGTATTTTTTGCGCCTGCTATTTGAGCGGTTCCTGTAACAAAGAAGAAGCAGATTCTCAGCATCAGGCAGAGGTCAGCTGTAGGAGCGCACGACCTCCCCTTTTCCCACAAGAGAGGGCCCCTGGAGGTGTTTTTTCTCAGCGCGGGTAGAGCACGCTCCACAGCGGCACACATTCCTGTTGTATCACACTGCCCACCACAGGTCTGTGAAAGTGCCCAGCCTGATGTGCCTCAGAGCTTGATGAACACTTAACTGAGAAACAACCAAACCGCTTGCTTTCTGCGGCGCTGAACTCTGGATTTCAGGGGCTAACCCTTACACCGAAAGCTTTGAAAACACATTCTTTCTTCCTAAACTTCCAACACATGAAGCAAAACTCAAGCCTTGAAGCAGACGGCATTGAACAGGAGGGCTACAAAAAGGATGGCTTTAGCTGAAGACCACCATGGCAGGGATTCTTCAAACCACTCGGCAACAGTCTACGTACCACAGCGTCCTGCGCGCAGAATCCTGGGGCACCAGCAGCTCAAAGTAAGGCAGTTTTTTGTACTCCTCATTTCCCACTGCCACATAGTAATCGCCGTTCACCAGCTCCTCCCCACCAGACACCTGGGTTCCGTCCAGCCTGCAGAGCCTGGAGGAAGAGGCAGCGAAGGCTTTAGAGCCGTCACAAGACTCTGAACAACCCCTCAGCATGGAAGCAAACGTGTGCAAAGTGGTAAACAGGACCGAGACAAGTCGGAGAGGATCGATCAAGGAAGTATGCCGAAATATTACACCCAGTGATCAGTGAGATGCAGTAGATCTCAGCTTTCTCCTTGGGTGTCAGTAAATAGATGTATGAGAAGGTAGGCTGTATTTGTTGGATAAAAGCCCCTCTCTCTAGACACGAACCCCTTTTTATGCCATGCTTTACTGTTTGCTTATTGCTTTTTCACCAGACCACCAGCAACATCAGCCCTCCTCACAAAGCACCCGAGACATTGGGGTTATCCCTGATTTGAAGACGGGAAAACCTGAAAAGCAAATGAGATTGCAAAAGCAGACCAGAAGTGGCTGTCTGAACTCCCAGTCCTCTGTGCTAATCAGAGCTGCTTATGTTCTGCACATAAGGAAAGAGGAGCCGTGCCTTATCTGGATACCCACTTGTTAACAGCTCCACTGCGCAGGTTGGCTTTCTCTGTCAGCGTGGCCAGGAGCGCGTCCCACTGCAGTGGAGTGCTCTTGGAGAGCGGCAGCGGGAAAGGAGGGCTCAGCAAATCCCCATTCCGGAAAACACTGCAGTAAAAACAACCCAGGGCATGCGATGAGCCAGTATTCCTGCAGCTGTGGAAGATGGGGAAAAAAAAGCCAGCCACTGGTGCCTGGGCAATATTTACTTCTGGTAGAAGCCGGGAATTGTCCCTGTGGGACAGCATTCCCAGGATCTCACAGAGAAATTCCCTCTTCCAGCCTCCGAAAACATTCCCAGAGACCCTCCGAGGAGAAAACACCGAGGCACTTACTGTATCGTGCAGGGCAGGTGGGCGTGCTTCTGCCATCGCACCAAGACGTTCGACTTCCAGGGAGCTACAGTGCGGAACTAGAGACCGAGTTCAGTGCACAAGAACAGTGACAGCCCTGGCACCGAGCCTCCCAGGGCCGTTCCCTGTTCTCCATCAGGAGCTGCCTGCCCTGCGACACTACCTGCCCTGCCTTCACGCTTGCTGCTGCTAGGTGGGGTTTGTTGTCAGCAACACCAAGGCTGGAGAGGCTCTTCACATAGCTGAGCCCATTCCAGAACTGCCAGCAAACCTCTGAGCACAGATCCTTCCCCTGCACCCTTAAGGGGGACGAAGGTACGCAGCAGCAGCCCCTGCGCTGTCTCACGCGTCCTACTGATTCCTGTGGCACTTTTTCCTGATCTCCCCTGGGCACCTCGCAGCCTTAAATCTCAACTTCAGTTTCATCAGTGCCAGCCTCAATGTCTCTCACACCTCCCCGCTCATTCTGTGCTCCCGCCTGCACCCACTCAGCTCAGGGACTCACCTGCAGATCCTCGCTGTTCCTTGTCCCACGGAGCTCCTTCCTTCCGTGATTTAAATAGCTGTGAGAACAAGAAGACAACGTCGCCACGTACCAACTAGGCCGTGGCTGACTAAAGAGCGGTGAGAAAATGACCGACTGCTCTGCCTTGGAGCATCGTCACCAGATGCGTGGGTCGCCTACTTGGGTCACTTCTGGAACGATTCTCCAGGTGCCTCGCCTCATGGTCTCCCAGAACTTCAGCCTACGTTAAAGTCTGCTACATTTAAGAAACTCCCAGCCAAATACAGACCATTTCAGATCCCCATGCTGAAGACGCCCGGAACGTTTTATTCCTTTGTGTTAATCACTGATCAAGGCTCCGAGGGCTGACCAATATTATTGCAGCCTGGACTACCTCCTCAACAAAATGTAATACACACCCAGGGAGCCCAATTCACCTGACACGCACAACACACACACACACCCCACACCCCCCAAGAGTCAAGTGATGCCGTGAACATCTTTAGCCCTCTGTATTTCAGGAGGAACCAAAACAGCTCTAATTCGAGGATTAGAAAACAAAAAAACTCCATCAAACCAAAGCAAAAGTATTTGTCAGTGGAGACAGCGTGGCTGCCAGCTCTGCCGAGGAAGCGGGCAGCAGAACCTCCCACACGCCACAAAACAAGGTGCACGGGAGGCAGAGCAGCACCGATCACAACATCCTGCCAGAGAACGCGTGCCTCCCCGACACGTTTTCTTCCGAGAGTCAAGTGACCTTATCAGGAACATTTGCATTTTCCAAGTGATCTGGAATACGTCCAGTAGTTTCCAGTAGGAAAAGAAACTAACCGGTCTCTGGTTTTCGTTGGGTCTGTACCCCTCTTACCTCTTTTTTTCCATTCACACCCCAATCCATTCCCCCCAGAGGTGATCTAAAGCTGCTTACCTAACCCGGAGACCAAAGGTCCGTCTACTCACTTGAGCTTTTTGAACTTTTCAAAGCCCGCAGCCACATAGTGGCACCCGTCCTGCAGGTCCCCCAGCTCAGCGACGCGGTGGCCATGCCTGGGTGTGTAGAGGTTCCTCACAGCCAAGGGCGCATGAACGCTCTTGGTCACCTCATTCAGAAATGCCTCAAAGGTCAGAAACCGCCGCTGGTTCACTACAACCTTCCTCCCGGGGAAGAAGGGGTCACCGTTGCGATACACCACCACGTTCTTGGCTGGCGGTGCCAGAGCTAAGCCACGGGAGCTCATCCCCTGTGGGTCAAGCAAGCCCCGCTGACCACAGAGGCAAACAGACCGATGTGGGGCACGGAGGAGAGCCCCGGCCAGCCTCCCGCTGAGCCCAAACCCTTCCGACCAGCCGCTCTCGCGCTCTGCCGTCCCTTCCCAGTGCAGTCTGGCGCGACTGGCTGTCTCCATGGATGCAGGCCCAGCAGGAGGAAGTTGTGGGCCTGTCTGGAGGCCACATCAAACAACCTGCAGAGCGCCTTTCTGCTTGAGAACCAGGAACCACACAGCTCTTTAATCCTCAAACGCCAAGTACTGCGAGCTCCCTCACCAGCCACTGTGGCCACCAGGCTCAGGTCAACAAGCCTGGAGGTACAGTAAGTGCCAGTATCTTTATGGCAGCAGCTCACATCCCCTCCAGAGCAGCGCTATCCAGAAGCTGTCACCCCCTTGCCATCGCTTGCTACCCACGTGAGACGTGCAATGGGTTTCTGTCCTGTGTGTATCGGACAAACGTCCACATCCCCGCGGACGCACCACCCTTTGCACGGAACAGGTTGCCATGGGTCGAAACAGGTCGTGGACGCACTTGGCTCTGCCCAGGAGAGGAAGGCAAGCCAGACAGGAACAGACAGATTCAGAGTCGAGCTTCAGGAAAGCTTTTTATTCACAAACAAGTCAGCACCATCAGGAACAGAAAGATACATCTGCCATACGGCAAGAGCGACCGTTCAGTCAGCAGGAACGCAGAGTGTTTGCACAGAAGACTTGGGGGTCACAGTAGGGAACCACAGCACCACGTGGAAAGTCCCTTTCTGAGGGACCTTGAATGCCCCTGAACTAGAGCAGCATATAGACAAAGCACCAAACCCCGTAAGTCCTTACTTGCTCCCTCAAGCACCAGTCCAGGTGACTCTGCCACCCAGAGAGACGTTACCACGGCCAGAGACGTGCAAATCGGGAACCAAGCCTCATCTCCTGAAGGTCAGGTTTGATGTGCCATCGCTCCCTACCAACCGCACAGGAAAGTTAGGAAACTCCCCTCCTAACTTAGTACTTCAACTAAGTGTTCCCCAAAGCCTACCGCGAGCGCTTGGGGATCCCAGATACTGCAGGGCTGTGATGTGCAGAGCCATCCCAAATACACAGCTCAGATACCGATACGGCTCACGCACAGTTCAGCGGAGAAGAGCTTGTTCCTGCAGGTTCAAAGCACCTGCTGCCTTCAGGCATTTTAGTTCCACCACAAGCAATCAGCTGGTCAGAAAGCGCCTTCTCTACGTGACAGTCTTCCCAGCCTCGATTTTCCCCTAGGACCGTCCAGCTCAGGCAACAGAAACAGGGTTCTTGTGGAAGGAGGCCTCACTGGCACTCCCTCCAGGACACACAGCAACCCCCCTGGCTTCACAGTGACGTTTAATCCCTGCTTTGACCAAATATTCACGTTTGAAAGAAACAAAAGGCTTTCTTGCCACATTCATCCGAAGCGGAAAACATCAACCCACAGAGCTGGAGTTCCCCTAAGCTGCTGCTGTCCGTGAGGTCATGTCACGACTGCGGTGCTGCAGCTCCACTGCTTCTCCACACCGATACAAGTGCCCCACGTGCTCGGGAATGCCATCCTACGGGTCAGGACTCCCCAGCCTCTGTTTCAGCATCAAGTACTGCAAGAGAAAGAAAACCAAGCATTAACGATTAAATCCCAGACACCTCCAAGTAGGAAAGCACCCACCCTTGCAGATTAGCCAGCAAAATCATCGCACTTGGCCAGAAGATGCACGAGCCTCACCTTTCAAGCAGTGCAAATAGCAGCTCGCTGAGCTAGCCCGCACCTAGGTACAGACCGCTGCATCCTACAGGCAGGACAGTTACCAAAGCAGCGATGTCCTTGTAGCAGGCCAGGAGCAAAGCTTGCAACCAGATCTAAACAGCTCCTGGTTTCCTTCATCGTTCCTTCCCCCCACCCCCAGAGAAGGAAGAAAAAGGGCACTGCCATCATCCAGTCCAATCCCTGGGTAACTGAACCATCACCGGTTGACCCCAGTCCCACCACAGACGGCACCGCTCTGGCTGCGGACAGGCACTGCTCTGACCCACCGTTTTGGAAGAGGCCAGGGTCAGGCCCTTACGTTTTTACGGCTGACAATAGCTTGTTGCAACCACAGCAACTCCATGATCAAGTGATTTCTGTAGGACTGGAGACCGGACCGAGTTCGAGGAAGCTCCTTTATGTCCTCAAGTGGAATTTCTACAAAGAAACGGAAGAATAACCTATTATTAGAACAAAGATTCAGACTGCACCTACTGTCCCTCCTGCACTGAGTTGTTCTACACTCTCCAGGATATTCTCAAGGCTTTGGTTCTCCAAGGACCTACTGGGCCCCCCGCACTCACCACCAGGTCCTTCAGACCACGCAGGAGAGCGCAGGCTGTGCGCCGGCTCCCGTCTCTTACCCAGGCAGGCTTCGAGGGACTCTGCCTCGAGGATAGCGCCGTCCCACACAGAGGATCCGCTGCTGTCGTTCTGCCAATCCTTGCTCTCTGCTGGGGCGCTGCACCCCTCTCCAGTGCATTTATCGGCATCAGCCCCGAGATTTGGGGGGCTCGCTACGTCGCCTTCACCCGTGGAGCTCAGTTCTTTCTCGCTCTGCGGCTGGGCTGTAGGTTTCACACCGCTGCAGCCCCAGTCCCGTTCTGGTTCAGAGGCGTCCAGCTCCTCCTGCGGTTTTTCTGCGCTGGCCTCGTCACTCAGTACAGCCTGCCGCGGACCTGAACGCTTCCCCTGTGTTGGCTTCTAAAGGGGCAACGTGTGAGAGATGGAAATATAAGGAAAAGGAAATATAAAGATCTGAAAGGTGGCTCTGCTGCGGGCCAGAGGCTCCGTCCCAGCCAGAGATCTGCCGTTAGCAGCACTCCCGCCACGACACCGACGTGCTCTGGTTTGAACCACGGCCAACTTTTTAAAGGCTTTTCCTTCCAGAAGTGGTAAAAACATGAGAGAGCGGCGCTCAGCCGCTGCAGGAGCGGGTCCGACCGGCTGAGGTGGGTGCCCGGGGACAAGACCCGCAGGAGTCACCTGCGCAGGTTGGGCGTTTGACTTGAGGCTGAGCTTCACCCGGAAGAAGAAACCCTCAGTCGGGGACTGAGGGGCACAGGTCAGGGAGAGTCTTACAGGCCTCGGCTACGTAATTATCGTTTCTAGTTTGGCAGGATTACAGGTTCCTGGGACTACGCTGCAAAAGTATCGTCTGCCCAGGCCACACCACCCGCCGTGCCCCCGTGCTCCCCCCCTCTCAGACGGGGCCGCAGGAGCCCCCGCCCGTCCTGACGCACGGACCTCGGGGACAAACACGGGCCGCGGCAGGAACCGTCCCCTCCACTCCAGCCGGCTCAGGTCTCCTTCGATCTCCCGCACCACCTCCTCGTACTCTGCCCGCAGGTTCCGAAAGCGCTTCCGCAGCAGGTAACCCCTGACACAGGCCTGCGGGCACGGCGCGGGGGTGCTG